ACATCGTCAACATAAAATATATCTCAACTTCTTAAAGGGTAGTTGACCCACCACCAACATATATTGCCTAACCTCCAACGCGAAACTAACAAATTGTGAATTTAATGAGTAGTTGTCTTGTTCTTTTGTTAATGTCATGCAACTGATGAAAAGAAAAAAGTTGAAAAGGTATACGCTATCTTACAGGCGCATAGTGACAAGGACCACTTTGAAAACATAGTTTTCAGGACTCTGCATACATATGAAAACCTTTTCCTTAGGATTTTCCAAATACACAAATCCTAAGGAAAAGGTGTTCACACGTTCAGCAATATATAATTCAACCTCCAAATCCAACATCCCCACCTTTAGTTTCTTCTCTTTTTATGCAGCTGTTAAACTTCTCATGGAATTTGACATTGGTCATAATCTCGAGTCCCTGATGCTTCTGGAAAAGTTATTGTTTCTGAGCTTCAACTTCTAACGGGATTTGAAGAAACGGATTTGGTTCTCCTAGAAAATTTAGTGATCAGATGAGCAATGCTGGGGGAAATCTGTCTGGGAACATCTTCCTCAGCCTCACCATCATCAGAAGTAATATATGTGACTGAGGTTCGGGTGGACCGATCCTTGTATAGTTTTGTGATCCCTTTCTCATTGTATGGCTCTTGAGCAAGAATACTGGAAACGAAACAAGTTATGTCTGCTGGAAATGATGGAGATTGCTCGAACTTAATTAGTATAGCCGCCGGCTATACTTTTTCTGACACGCGAGCGCTTTTTTTTGGGAAATAGCCTAAAATGCCACCCATTTCATAATTTTAACTAAAAATACCACCCCTTTCTAATTTTTTTACAACTACTACCTATAAATATAAAATTATTGTCCACTTATTGTACCCATATTAGTTTTTCAGAAATTGGCTTCTCTCTCTAACTCTCTTCGCTCTATCTCTTCGGCCCGTCTCTCTCCCTCGTGTACCTCTCTCTCTTCGACGCAATCGTCTTTCTCCCTCAACGGTGGCTGTTCATCCAAGCGTAACTCCATCGTTGACATCCACGAGGTACTGTTCATAAACCTTTTCTTTGAAATTTGGGGTTTTTGTGAATTTGGTTTATGGTGTATGGATTTGTAAGAAATTGGTTTAGGGTTTTAGTGTTTAGGGGTTGCTCAGAAATTGGGTTTGGGTTTATGGGTCTTTGTTGCAGAGGTATATTTGTTTTGTGCCTAGAAGATTGTGACTTTGTTGAAAGTTCGTAAATGGAAAAGGCAGCTGCCCCTGCGGCTTGGAACCCTCAATTTGGAGGTATTATGCCCCGAATTTTTACAAAAGAAGAATTGGAATTACCCTATAGAAGGCAAAATAAAAATATATAAGAGGAAAAATGGAGAAAAGTTATCTAATTTCCCTTTTTTTAGTTGTAGTTTTTTTTTTCGGTCTTTTGTTTTTTTTTTTTTTTTTTTTTTTTTGGGTTTGGGGTGCAGGAGGTTGATCTAGTTGGTTTACATTAATGTAGTTCCAATATGTAAAGATGGAGTTTATATATATATATATATATATATATATGTACATGATATAGAGTCAATTTCAGACCTTGTCAATGGTATTAGCCTGTTAGGCATGTGGGAGATTCATTTTGTTTTCTTTCATTTTCTATATATGATTATGATTATTTACAACGTTGGACAGACTTCCCTACATCATTTTTGTTGTGTGGGGGGGGGGGGGGGGGGGGGCCTATATTCGTTACAGGGTTTATTGACTGCATGCTTCCTTGTCCTGGAAGACCTCCTTAGTTCCGTTGAGCCGACAAACCTTATGAGGTTGAATGTGAAGTGTTACCTTGCATCTGCATGTTTCATCTTTTAACTTTCTTTTCATGTTTCACGCTGATGCTTGTAGTTATTTCTAGTTTTGCATACAGATTAGCAAATAGGTTATGCATTTACTGTTTAGTCATCTAATGATTTGATATCTAATATTTAGGCATGTGGGAATTTATAGATGTACCGATTATGCATACATATAGGTTTTGCGCTTGTATTAGGAAGTTAGATTCTTGTGGTTCCTCTTCAATGGCATGAATTTAAATTGTTGTGCTTCATGATTAGGGTTTGAAGAACAACCATGTAGTAAGAAAGTTGGAGAAGCGTCAAAGATTTGCACCCTTGACCAACATATTGAAGAGTAATTTGGTGGTGGTTGTCTATTGGCTTGTATTATAGCATGGGTTCATCCGAGTGCTTAACAGTGTTTATCATGTTTGCATCTCATGCCTTAACTCCCTCAGTTCTCTTGGGCAGCTGTCAGATTGTTTGAAAATAATTGTCCACTTTTAATTTGTTGAAGACTCACCTTGTTATATGTTCATTGCCTTACATGGCACATAAACTATTTCCATTTTGAAGTTGAACTAATTTGTACACCTTCATGTATAAACATAGTTGCTCTTTATGGACGTATAACAGTTTACTTGTTTGAAACGACGTGTTCATTTCCACTAAATTCTACTCATTTTTGTATCCATTGTTGACATTTAATCTCTGTGGTTTTCTTTGCAATTTATGTGATATAGGTATATTTCATTTCCTGCACTGGGAATTTGTTAGTTGACTTAGTGAAGCATACAACTTTCTTAAGATTTCTCAAATTAGTTTTGACTTTGTTCCTTTTAAATAATTTCTGCAGCAATTCTACTTTTCTGCTTAGCATTCTGTTGTTATTGGAATTTGGAACCTCATAATGTTTAGAAAGGGGTAAGATATACTTTACCCCCATGAACAAATGTGGAAAATCACTTAACACGCTTCCACCACAATATTAAAAAAATAAGTCCCTCGTTTGTTTAGAATTTTTCATTAATAGCTATTATGTCAGTATATATACCATTAGTTCAGTTTTAGGGCCAAGTTCGTATGAACAGATGACTAATTTGAAATATGTAATCGATTATTTTGCCCTCTGACTCAATCTTTGAAACATTGGTGTGGTGATTAATAGATGCGCATGGTTCTTTTTCCCGGCATCTACCATTTGCAGGTAAGAGTTCATTTGCTGAAGAATCATCATCAAAAGTAATATATGTGACCGAGGTTCTGGTGGACCGCTCCTTGTATAGTTTTGTGATCCCTTTCTCATTGTATGGCTCTTCAACAAGAGTACTGGAAACGAAACAAGTTATGCATGTCGGAGATCATCGCTATTTCTCGAACTTAGTATAGCCACGCGGCTATACCAAGGTTTTTTCCAAAACAATTAGTGCATATACTAAGAGCATCCACAATGGGCTCCCTAAACCACCTCATTAGACAAATTTTAGGGAGGAATTATAAAAATGCAACTCCAACCATGCTCCCTATCCATCTCCTAAAATAAGGAGTCCTCTAGGAGCTCCTAAATCTGAGGAGAGAGAAATGACTAATAGTGGCTCCCTATAATTTAATGCTGCTTTATTTAATGAGTAATTCAAATCTTTATTTAATGCTAACTATTTTTTATTTTATTTTTAATAGAGATTGACCAATCAAAAAAGAGTTATAGCATTTATGACTCTCTAAATTATGGAGTATGGTTGAAGTTGAAATTTTTTAGAGAGCTCCTAAAATAGATTTCTTATATTTTTAGCTAAATTTTAGCTAAGAAAGAGAGAGCATCATTGTGGATGCTCTAAGGTTTTTCCCAAAACAATTCGTATAGCCACACGGCTATACTCGGGTTTTGAAATTTCTTTTCCAACAATGGTATAGCCAAGCGCCTATACTCTCACCAGGCTGGCTTTTTTTTTAATTTTTTTTATAATTAGTATAGCCGCAAGGCTGTACACGGTGTTCAAAAAAATTTCCAATAAATCGTATAGCCGAACGGCTGTACCCGGTTTTTAATTTTTTTTTCCAAATATAGTATAGCCGATCGGCTATACTTTGTTTTTAAAATTTCTTTTCCAAAAATAGTATAGCCGGGCGGTTATACCTTTTTGACACGCATCGCACGCTGGCGACTTTTTTTGTTTTATAAATCGTATAGCCGCTCGGCTATACTCGGATTTCAAAATTTTTCCAAAAAATAGTATAGCCGCACGGCGATACCATTTAGTATACTCTTTATCAAATGAAGAGCTTAAGATCTTTTAAAGAAGAAACTGAAAAAGTAAAACAAGATCACTTGTTGCACAATTGTATAAAGAACATAGACAATTAACTAGGACATAAACAACACATAAAAACTTAAGGTACATGGAATTGGTGCCCTTGAACCCACAAAAGCATGCAAGACTTTTTGTTGGTGTTGCACCAAACCTGTGCTGTTGGGCCACATAGCTCCAAAATTAAAGGCCTATATTCCTCCATCAGTTCTCAAACTTTACAAAGCATTGTTATATTGGCATTCCAAAATTCAGATCATATGCATCCCTCGTCTTCTCTTCCCTGAGTATCATTCCCCAAACAAAACAAAACAAAAACTATATGTTATCACACTGGAAGTGTCAACACAGAAGACCACAACACTGAATTAGTATAGCCGCGCGTATTTTTGATTTTTGATTTTTTAATGAAAGCCTCGAAAAAGGCTTAGAGCCATTTCCTAGCAAGACACAAGGCAGGCTAGAAAGGCGAGAGGAGCTAGAAATACGACCTCTCTGAGATATACGGTTTATGCCGGACCATCTGCCATATGAAAGCCAAATCGGATCCTTTCATTCCTTGGTCCTAAAAACTTAGAAAAACAAGTATAGCCGAGCGGCCATACTATTTTTATAAAAAAACTGCGCAGTGCGCACAGCCGCTTGGCAATACTATTACTTTTAAAAAAAAATGGAAAAAGCCCATCTCTTTTTAAAAAAAATTAGAACAACAGCGTATAGCCGCGCGGCTATACTATTTCTCTTACAAAATTAAAAACAGAGTGGTGCCGAACGGCTATACGATTTCTTTTAAAAAAAATAAAAAATGGGGTATAGCAGATCGGATATACTATTTCCTTTATAAAAAAAATTCTAAAAACCGATTATAACTATTTCTTTTACAAAAAATGGGAAAAATCCGAGAAAGCTTTTGAAACTGTGCTCTGAGCAAGCATAGACTTCTCTAGCTCCCCTTCACTGTCTGAAGTTGGGCCATCTGAAGCATCAAAAGCAACAGGCAAGAAGTCAATAGGTTGTGAAGCGGCCATAGATAGAACCTGTCAAACTTTCAGAAAAAACAGGATGGGAGAGCTGCGCAAATGAAGAGCTTAATTGGGAAATGGACTTAATGGTAACTAGAGCTGAGCCAATCTTACCAAGTAGGCCTCAAGAGACTTGGACTCATTCTCTCCATATGAATCAGGATCCCACTTGATGTTATGTTCATCTGCAATTGCAGACAATATTTTTACCTTAGTAGGGCCTAAACCTTTTATCTGAAAGGAAAACATACAAAATAATTAGTACATCCTGCCATCTCCAATTTGCCCAATTCTGCTGCACATCTTGGAGATGCAAATATTACACTTGAAATTTCTCCCTTCAAGTCAACTGGGCAATCTCTGTGGAAATGTTAAATAGGTCAACGCGATACAAGCTCTTTTAAAAAAGAAAAAGAAAAATCCGAGTATAGCCGATCGGCGATACTATTTCTTTTAAAAAAGAAATGAAAAATTTGAGTATAGATCGGCTATACTATTTCCTTTTATATTATTTGTTTTTAAAAATAGAAAAACCGAGTACAGCCGTGCGGTTATACTATTTCTTTTGAAAATTTGAAAAAATCGAGTATAGCCATTTCTTTGTTAAAAAAATCTAAAAACAGAGTATAGCCGGCCGGCGATACCTTTTTTTTTAAAGTTTGAAAAAATGGCGTATAGCCGCCCGGCTGTACGATTTCTTTGCTAAAAAACTCTAAAACCCAATAGAGCCGAACGGCTATACGATTTCTTTTTTTAAAAATTCTGAAAACCGATAATAATTATTTCTTTTACAAAAAGTTGGAAAAATCCGAGAAAGCTTTGAAACTGTGCTCTGAGCAGGCAACAGACTTATTGCCTGTTGCATATACCACCTCCGGTTTACTGGACTGTCTCTTCATACTCAATTCACCTAATAAGTCAATCTTTTCAGGTTCAGATGACTTCTTTTGAGGATAATGATCTGCATTTGGGGAGTATAAGTAATATGCTCATTCCATCTCGAATTACCTTCCCAATAATCACTACAAAAGGTTAACTCAGATCGAAAAGAAGACATGCAAGATTTATTTTCAGATCTTATATCTCCGAAACCAGCTTGCAAGTCACTCTTATACAGCACCTCAGATTTACTGGACTGTTTCTTCATACTCACGTCACCTAAAAAGTCAAGCTTCTCAGGTTCAGATGACTTCTTTTGAGGATATCAATCTGCCATTTGGAAACTATTCGCCGAAATGGAAGTTCTACTGGTTCTCGAGGAGGCTGACAGGCAAATTTTGTGATGTGATTTTGATGAGCATTGCCGCAAAAGTTCTGCAGTTGCTCTGGCAGCTATGCTTGCCATTTTCTGCTGATTCAGCAGCTGCCTGTGCTGCAGTGGTAGGATCCTCAAATTGCCCGTTCCAATTCTTCCTACAGGAAGAAAAATCATTTCCATCCCCAGGAAATAAATGCCTATCTTCCATCCCGTCAGTTTCATTTCCTAAATGCAAATGTCCAATTAAGTAACTTTGTGATTATTCGTTGTTGGCAAGTAATATATAATATAGTTGAAGTTGATCAATTAAACTACTTGTGAGTAAATTTTGTTGTGATAATATAGTTGATCTTCTTCTTCTTTTTCTTCAGTTTTGGGGAGATGATGCTGGAAATTGGAAGTAATGGAAGGTTGACGAATACGGGAGCAACCTTGCAGAGCAAGTGAAGCAAAGTTATTCATAGAGAAATCTAATCTACAATGATAGAGAAGTTGTTTCCACCATTGCAGTTGAAGAAGAGATGAAGCTGGTACTTGAGGTTGCCATGCTTTGCACTAAGAGCAGACAATCTGATCGCCCATCCCATCCATCCAAGATACATTGATTTAGAGCTTTTACCGGGTCGAAAAACCACAAGAAAAATAAACCCTACTTTTGAAGCAGCAGGAATTATGATTTTGGATGCAGATTACCAATTAGAACAAAACAAAAACAAAAACAAAAATAGGATTTCTCATGTGCAGAAAAAAGGTTTCCTTCTTGGGTTGGCCAGTTGTTGAATGTATCTCAATAACCAGACGGCTCTAGAATAAGAACCAATTGTAAAAATGTACATATCAGAGTCAGCAATACAATACAAAATCAGGTAGGACTGAGGATCCATTCACTTAATCGTAGTTAGTTCATTTCTGTCAAATGAGTTCCAATACCAAGTTTTTGGGTCTTGGAGAAAAATTGTTTGAAGGTAGGGGTACTCTTGAACAAGATTTCTCTTTGGCAAGTCATAGTTCGAGCTTTGAGTTACTAAACTGGCTCAGCATGATAGCCAAATCCATACCTTGTACCATTGTAGGCACAGCTGTTCCATAAGGACACTGCTGAGAAAATCCAACCTTCCCAGATTTTTGTACTTTCTTTATGCAGGTCTTGAACTTCTCATGGCATTTTATATCGGTCATACCTATAAAGCCAACATATTAAAGCAGCTGATGTTGTAAAACAAACAATGCTAATACCATGCCAATAAAAAAGAAAACAGTAAATTACTGGAGTTAAAAAAAATATTCAACAACCAGCTACAAAAAGGGAAGGACAGACAACTGTGTGCGCATGGTTCATGACGAACTGCAAACAAAACAGGAAGGACAAATGTATTGGCATGATTCATGATGAACTGCCCAATCCTTGTATCATCTAAATTCGGTAATATATTCAATTCATGTTGCCCAAGTTGTCTGCCCTTTGTTAATTTATGGGTCTGGTAGTTAATCAAAACTCCAAGAAAAAAATGTTTATATCTGACTGTCACGATGCACCAAGACCAGACAACCATATATCAACGTGTTGAGTCCTCAAGTTTAAACTTTTTCTTTACCCTGCCCTAGAGAGAGGAGATGATGCTGTTATAGTTGTTAAATGAATGAATTCTTAACTAGAAACCAACTTGCTCTGTATATGAGTTATCTTATAGGGAAGCAGGCCTAGAATTCAACCAATTACCTGTTAGTTTCCATTACATACTTTTTCTATTGATTGGCAAAATGAAACTAGAACCCTTTTGACACAACAAGGACACAAGTTTCTGAGAAATCATAACAAGGATCCAAAGCAAATGAAAATGTGGCTGCGATTTTTTCGAGTGAGTGAAATAAAAAGTTACCAACCATATTTTTACCAGGGCTGATGGCACATAAGAAATAGACTATTGATGGTTTGTAACCCAATTCACTACTACTTTCTAACAATCAAAAGTTTGATTCTTTTTCCCACCAAAGAATGCTACTTGTCAACCAAAATGCCAAACAGCACATTTTGTTTCCTATTCATCTTATTCATCTAATCATCCAAAACCCAAGTGTCTAAAGCTTATTAAATCAGTGAAGTAACTGAAACAACCACATAAATTGCAGCAAAGAAAAAGCCAAAAACATATTACTTTATACTTCAAGTTCCACCAAAATTAAAAAAAGAAGATACCTTTTTTGCCAACACAATCGTCATGAATCTTGCAGCAAGCATCAAGATCATCGCAGGGCTTCTCCCCTGGGCAGCCGGTCCACCCTACTCCGCAGTACTTCCCGTACCGAATCCCAACAGCTAAAAGTTCACAAACAACAATATCAAAATAAATTATAAATTTAAGAATAAAATACAGAAAAAGAGTTGGATTTGAGAAAGTTTTAGGAATTAAAGGATCTAGAGCTTACAATTACAGTTCTCTGCTACGCAGATTCGGCTGCAGGTCACCTGCACATTCCAAAAGCCCAGTTTTATTTTAAAAACAAAGTGAAAAAGAACAAATCCGAAGCTCCAAATAATATGGGCTCAATTTTTTTGTCCAATTTTGTGGGAAGAGATATTTACCTCGGAGTCATTGTTGGAGCAGCGGGCGACGGCGATGAGGGAGAAGATAACGACGGCAAATACGGCGGCAAAACGTGTCGTACGACGGAGGCCGGCGTCTCGCAACATTGACATTGTCGCTCGCTGTTTTAGTTTTTGGGCTCAACGGGATTAACAGAAACGGAAGTCTTCGGCGCCTTCTTCCTCGAAGCGTTCCGTGTATTAATATTTGTCGTTGCTCTGCGTGTCTATCTGTCGGTTCCTCATTCGCCGGAATGACGTTACTGGATTTTACTAAAGTGCCCTTCCCCGGTCGCAGCCAAATTGCCAATGGCGTAGTCAACAATAATACATAAATCCATTTTATTTTTTGGTGCAACTTAATTAATAATATATTTTTTTGTTATTTGCGTAGGCAGCTTTTAAAAGTCTATTTTTAAGTAAAAATAATTTTCAATAACTAGGATTAATTTTAGAATTTGCTATTCCTACTCCCAAAAAATCCATATGCACACATTTTTCTTATATAAACATATCATAAAGAACAAAAATTACATTTAAAATTATATATAATGACTATTTTGAAGTGTCAATAATAATTTTGTAAAATCACTTTTATACGCAGGCAGACCAAGCACATCGAACAAAAGGTGCAATAATTTGATGTAGCAAAATTTGTTGATGTGTAAAGAATCAACATTGTCTGCATAATTCTTGAGAAAAAAGTTCAAAAGATGAAGAATACTAGTGTAAATGTTTGTCTGAAACTGGAGACATGCAATGGCAGTGTGTACAATTGCAATGTGATTTCACGTATGTTTGATGGCCGAGCAAAGAAAAAAAGGCAATTGTTCCTTTCTCCATGGAAATTTGGCCAACCAAGTAATTTTGTTCGAGATTCTCTATCAATAAGGACCATAGCAACAAAATCATCAGATATAACACTTGAGATTTCATCAGAACCAGATTCTACCAGATACAAGAATCCCTTTTAGATTCTGACATGCTCATCTTGGCATAATCAGATGGCAATACCGATAATATCCGGCCGCACCATACATTTGGATTCGAGGGATTGATCAAAGCACAAGTAAAAGCTGTTGATTTCAAAGAGTGAGTGAGTCTAACAAAAATTGTGAAGTATTATCATCATATTCATGATTCCAAAAGAGATAACTAAAAAACATCCCATTCAAGTTACTTTCAAATACATTTGATTATTAAGGCTGTCAAACTTGCCCACCGATTTCTCAGCTTCAAAAATTTGTCTAGGAAAACAAAAAAATTGCGAGTACAGTACCCGCAGTTCAGATCCAGCAAATGACATGAGAGGCTTACACGTGCAATCCCTAGAAACATTTTATCAAATGGTTGCTCTCAAGGATAGTAACCAGTGAAGGTAAATCCCCTTCCCACAATCTCACCAGCACAATACCATGCAAAGCACTCCAGCCCAAACAAAGCAGCAATGCCAGCATCTTCAACCTTCAGGTCCTGCTTGTTCTTCCACAAATGCTTGACGTAATCAACTTCCTTCCAGAATGATTCGGTACGGCCAGGAATACTGTAGAATAAAAACTAAGTCAGATGAAGTAACATATATATAATATAAATGTGCATACAAATCATTACAGAAAGACATATTGGGTTATTACACAATGACTACTGCAATTAAAATGCACTTCCAATGAAAGTTCTAAGCTTGAATGAGTTTGTTGGGTATATGAAAGACTTCATACAAATAAATGTATGAAAAAGAGAGAGAAATTGTATCAAAAGCATTCTTAGTGATGGGTTCTCAGGTCCCAAAATAAATCTGAGATTTGATGATACACACAACCAAACCATTGGATGCCCATGAACAAATTGCAATTCAAGCACGTATCGAAATAGTCGCTATAAAAACGTATTGCCACATCCAGGATGTACAAAGAAAATTGACACTTGGATGCCCAGTACTAAACTATAAGCTACATTATCAACATAAAACCCACCAAGTATCTAGAGCACTTATGAACATAAAGAAAAGGACGAAAAGAAAAGAAACTTTAATTAGCTTTTCCAAAGAGCACTAATTTCTTTACAAAGCAGAGAAATTAAATGGAGGCAACAAGAACATGCAAGGCAATCTACATTCTTCTCCTTCAATTACAACAACTGTATCAACATCAATTCAAGCTTCAGAGCTAGAGAATGTTGCTTATTTAAAGCAGATAAATTACATGATAGAAAATAAAGGAAACTAATACCAAAAAAAATTTGCAATTACAAGTTGAAGAGAATAGTTTCTTTGGAGAATTTTCATGGTTTCAATCCTGATGATGGGCAGAGTGGGTCTGAAATAATCGTAATGCCATTATTGTGTGTAATGATAATGCCTGCTAAGATTTGTTACTCAACTCACTTATCTTGAGTTACGTTGTTTAGTTACTTACTATGCATTAATTCATTCAGGCTCTCTGGGTGGTAGGAAGGAGATTCAACTCACATAAATCTTGAAGAGCATGTAGTCAACATATATGAAACTTTCATTCACTCTGGCACTCCTACCAGAGAAGCCCAAGTTATAACTCAATTCAGTCCTTAGACAAAGAAGGTTAAGAAATATAACCTAGCAAGTCGAGTATAAAACAATTGCTTTGACAGCTCATTGCACTTCTCAACTGTTGGTGGATGCTGAATGTATTGCTTGTTCTGCTCTAACAAATTCTTGTAGTAGGTACTTCCATGCTTGGACACAAACTGTGTTGCTTGACAAGCCTTAGATTGCAACTGGCGCAACTTCGATGCCATCAATGCCCAAATCAATCCTAAGTTCAGAATATAATCAGTTAATTACCTTAAAACAAGTGAAAGAACTATAATTCAACAAGAACAGGTAATCTAGGCACAATTAAAAAGAAAAATTCATCAATTTGCACCATGCACAACAATGCCCCATAAAACACAAGACCATTCTTTATACCGGCACCGCAATCTCTTGCCCAATTTTTTTTCCCCAAATTTCTGAACCCTGCGTTTCATTTGCATCAAAAATTAAAATTGCTTATGGGTATCAAGCCAAAACCCTAACCATCGAGATTCTCACATAATTAAATCAGCCGTACACTTCATATGCTAAAAAGAAAAATAAAAAATTTGCTTCTTGGTCTAAAACCCATAGATTCACATGCTCCGATTTCCAAATCAAAGCATCACACAAAGGGGTCAGTCCAAAATCGCAAGATCTAAACAATCAAAAGAGGAAGCCTTGAGATCAATCAACAAGTTGCAACTGGAAGCAGAGAAAGCAAAATCTGAAGGACATTTTACCTTCGTCTTCGTAGTGTTCGATTGGAATGCAAAGCCGAAGAGAGAGAGTCTCAGACTGTCAGACTCCTTGCTTCTCTTGTGCTGCGCTGCGCGGACTGCGTGCTATGGTATAGAGGGAGCTCTCTCGTTTTGGGATCAGAGAGGTTTTACCTGTTGGGCTTTCCACTCATTTTCAATCGGGGGTAGTTTCGGAATTTCAGTATGAATTGTAGGCTTTCATTTTTGCTATCTCAAGCTGGCCCAAAAGAAAATCAATTAATTTTCGTCGGCCCACTATTATTCTCAGCCTGCATGAGATCCAATAAATTTTGTAGGCCCACTAAAAAAGCCCGTCGAGAAACGAAAGAAGACTCCCATCTCCAAGTTTAACTCAGACGTAGCTCGCTTTTTTTATGGGAAATTAATGCATGAAATATATTATTTTGTTTATTTATTTTAACATGGAATTCCCCTTTTTTTTTAAAGGGTATAATACCTTTTCGTGTTCTTGGAATGAGAACTGAAGAAAGACTTTCCACCATGGTCAAACTAACTCTCCCGACAACTTGTTCCTCTACTTGCCCAATGAAAATGAACCTTCCATCAATAGAGTGAAAGGATTTTTTTTAAATTTTAGCATCACATCACATGAGAGTGATTTGATGACATCCGTCTACTCTCAACCAATGGATCGTATTCGTAGAAGAACACAATATTCATATAAGAAATTAACATATTTGGAAATTTCTAATATGTTAATTAACATAAGACTAGCCTCTTTGCACGCACTTTCGCGCTTGTAAGAGGCTTTTTATTTATTTTTATTTTTTTTTATAAATAAAAAAATTTTAAATTTATTTTATAATTAAAAAGATAATGGGTGGTTGTGTTCCATAAAAATATGATCCATTATCTTATTTTTATTTTTTTAAATATGAAAAAGTGTGAATTTACCATATTATCCTCATTTAATTAATAACTTCAATTCTTAATGTTTGCATTAATCAATGGCATTTTCTAGTATTTTGAATGTTTTATCATTCTTTGCATTTTGCTCTATATATATAGATAATGAACCTTAATAATCATATTATATTGCATGCTATATGACTGAAGCATGGCCGGCTAAACCCTAATGGCCCAATGCTCCTATCTGACATATATAAATCTCATATTCAAATTCAAGGTTATTTGTGTTTATAACTGGATTTATTTTCCATTACAACCCACATAAAATCAAGTGATGTGACAAGGCATCCTTGATGATTTTATCCTAAATAATTCACGCGTTAGGCTGAAAAGATTTTACGGTCAACATTTTGCTAATGTTTGTAATTGTACGCAGTATCAGCACACAAAATCCTAATTAAAGTCGTGCTAGTTGAAAAACCAAAATTTTATGCCAACCTTCTACACTCGTATAGGTCTAAAAATAAAAAATTCCAGTATCGATAACTTATATTATTGCGATTTGAATCATTTGATTGAGATCATTGTGGACCCTTGCTCCATATTGCTCCATATGGAAATTGGCAGCGACCATCACGCCACTGAAAGCTTTGCACTTTCCAGCATATCATCGAGACTTCATGGAGCCTGTTCAAACTTCATGCCAAGGCCAAAAATCAAATGGAGTAGTTGGCCAAATTTGTTATTTTATGCATCTCTACATGCTTACTTGGCAGCTGATGATTGCCCTCGTGAGCCACATGGTGGTGATCTGGAGGACTGTGATTGGTGGGTTTGTTGTTTCCGTGTGATTTGTCATGGGTAGCGATCGCATATTTTAATGAAATATGCGATATACAATAGTTGACATTTGGCTTGGAAAATAATTAATGGGGTTTGGTGTTATGTGTCAAGAAATTGTCAACAGGAAACTCTGCTACGCAGAAGAATATATGGCAACAACTATAAATATATTCACACTAAACCCTATTAAAAAAGAATGGGTCGTAAAAGAAACTCGAAGAGCGAGAGAAAATTTTTATGTGCGACGGTAATACCAAAAATTAAGTCGACATCGAATTTCACATAAAAATGAGTTGATTATTGATTGAGAAAGTTTAAAGAGATTTTTCAATGATCATATCGTCTAATGTCGTTGTTTCTGTGTATATGAAATGACATTATCATAGAAAATAAATGATATTTGGAAGTGACTTTCGTGAAGTTCAACCAACGAACAATCCACGTAAGCCTTGAAATATATACTTAAACAGTTTTTATAATTAATGAAATATGATAATTTCTCAAAGACAGTTTTGATGGAAGATGCTAGAAAGGTGATGAAAGAGAGATTGAATCTTTTCCTAGTTATATTATGATTTCGCTAAGATTTTTATATTTGAAGATATAAAGGATTATCAAAGTCAAATGACACTTAAAAGTAGTAATGTCGATAGACATAAGACACCTACTAACCATATTATCCCTACATGATTAGATTATCCACTGATAAGCCTCCTGACCTGAGCTCATCTAAACCCTCTCTGCTTTCTTCATCTCTCTGCTTAAACCAATTTCGGTTAGCTATAATCGAGCTCGCCGTATCTCTCAAATGGATATTTACGTTAATTAGATGATTAATATAGCCTAATTATAATTTGATATATTCTGGGCCAGTCTGTATCAAATGGTATATATTATGCATGTGGTGGACCAACATTTGGTAAAGCATGGCACATTGCACGCAATGCTCATATAAAAAAAAAGAAAAAAGAAACAAGAGAAAATTAACCTATTACATCAGGCTTATGTTATATGAGCATGATATGACAGTGACAGAATCAGAGCTTAATTAATTAAAATGTCAAAGCCTCAAGGGGGGTGTAGACGTTTGATGTTCTAATTTCTAGATATATATGCCATGATGTTTATATATGGCTACGTCTCTCTCTCTCTCTCTCTCTCTCTCTCTCTCTCTCTCTTCATCTGTTAATATTCTCGACCCCACATTAACATGTTGTTTCTTGGGTCTTTCTTCGAAACTTGATTAATTGCCCAATGTCATGTATCAAGAGTCAAGTCTTCCAAACTCAATTGATGAGTTCTACATTAACACACGACATGCATTATTTAAGTGACACCAAAATTAGCTCCAGACATGGACTAATATACGACTAATGAAAATGTAATGCTAAGAGATTTTTTTGAGATAAGGAGGATAGATTGTGTTTATAATTTAGGCACAAAAGTCGTTAGCTAAAGAATATGTTTAGGATGTTTCACTATGGAATGTTTCTCTCTCAATATCAGGCACACTTCCTTCCTCGCCACTTGAGCTCACTTAAGAGCTAACGCTTTTGTTCAATATTTTTGTTAGAAGCATATCAGAAATTTCATTCGAACTTTAAATTAATGCTTCTTGCTCATTCGAGAAAGATAGATGCTTTTGTAGGAAACACTAAAAGAGAGAAAAGTAATGCTACTATCAATTGATTATAGAAGTTGGATTTCTGTGAAACTTGCTTTTCCAAGCAAGAAAACAAGGGTGTTGTTTCATCCAATCTAAAGTACGTATGATGAGACAAATCTCCAATTCCTGATGAACTAGCTAGATTTTGTCTTCTCAAGAATCAAAATGGGTAGAACCATTCAAAAAGAGAAAAAAAAAAAAAAAGATAAAAGGATCAAAGAGAGGAAAATAGATTCCAACTTCTCTCTCTTCGTTCCATGAAATTATGTAATCTTTTGAGAGCAACTTCAAGTGTCTGCTCACTCATGTTGGCAAAACACACCCTAAACCAACCTGGTTCAGAGCAGTGGCAAGAAGAGCCTGGAGATATATTTAACTTCACTTCATGCAGCATAGAGTCCCAAAGAGCGAGTTCACCTCCTCTTGTTGGTTTCTCTAAGAGTGGACTTAAATTCATCCAGCAAAACAACCCAGCATTTCCTCTCAAACACTCAATCCCAGCTTTCTTCAACCCTTCAATGATCATATCATATCTCTTCCTCAGTCTCTCTCTGTTTGTCTTTATGTAATTTTCAGTGAATTCCTTATCAGACAACATGGAAGCCAAGAGATGTTGTGTTTGAGAAGATATTAAGGTGAAGCTTGACATCCTTCTTGCTGTTGTTACAATCTTTTCATTGTACGAGTACACGGTGCCAATTCTAAATCCCGGAAGGCCAAGGTCTTTGGAAAGGCTATAAACAATGTGAACTCTTTCTGAATTCTTGTACTGCCTGGCTTCAAGAATCTCTGCAATGCTCACGAATGCAGAGGATGAGAAGGCGGACCCCGAATAGATTTCATCAGAGACAAGATGGATGTTTTTGGAGGTAACAAAATCAAGAATCTCTTCAAGAACTACCCTTTGGATTGTTGCACCTAAAGGGTTTGAAGGATTTGTGATTAGTACCCCTCTCACTCTCATGTTCTTGGCTTCTGCATCTTTGTATGCAGCTTCCAAAGCTTGAGGAGTAATCTGGAAATTGTTTGAGCTGTCACAGTGAATTGGTACAATATTCACACCAGTCCTCCACCTTAAATCTCT